TCGGGTCTATCGTTTCACAGTGCCAAAAGGACCTGTGGTCAAACCTCCTAAATGTCGTGCTCGGGCCGCCAGCTGCACGTGCCGTGTATCGGGACGTATGGCAACGGGGCCGTTGCGGTTCCTCTATCTGCCTTAGCACGTGAGAGCGCTACCATACGTCGAGCCAGCAGGCGCCGTTGCTCCGAGAGGCGCTTGGACGCTGCGAGGGGGATCGGTGGATAAGGGAGAGGGTGGTCTCGACCCTGCGCGCTGGTTGGTGCTGATGAAATTCGTCAATAATGACGCAGCGGATATCGATGCTGAAGCGACGCAGTACGTACAATCATTAACCGCCAGAAATGTATAGCCCCGCGGGGAAATCCAAGAGCAGAGTCAAGTCCATACGAGGAATCGCCGCTTCATCGGGCGATCGTCAGCGCGATAGCTATGAGTTTACCAGTAGGGGAACATCAAGGGCATCCTCATCCGCATGAGCGAGGTTTATGATCAAATGAATGCCCCTCTGCCGCCAAACCCGCGCTGCGAGCAAAGCTGTATCCCTCAGGCAGCAACGGCTTGACCCGTCGCATGAAATTCAGGTGAACCCTCTGGTTTCATGGTTAGATCTCTTCCAGACCTGCAACCGCCCGCACTCATCGCCCAGAGTCTGGAGCGGTGCATGAAGCCGGCTATGCTCGAGAAGCTGCGGGCGGTCCGAAGCCGTTCCCCGGGCCCGGGCAAGGTCCAGGCAAGGCCTCCACACCTCTTGCTGCATTACTCCACCGGCACCATTGGCTCTGGTCTCCGGATCAGCGCGGCCGAGCGGCCTATTCTTGGCGTGGGTGGTCCATCCGGCGGGCTGGATATCGACATGCCCTCTTCATTGGAACAGCCCGCAGAGTGGTATCGCACCGGGGGGGAGCGGCCGCCGCAGTAACTACTCCTCACAGCGGAGGAGCGCGCAGGAACTGCCGAAGTGAGGCGGCAGCGGCGGGCGGGCGAGGCTAACCGTAGCGCCGGATAGAAGCGATCTGAGCAGGTCCGTGGCAGCGGTAATGAGCGAATCGCGCGGCGCCGTTTGAGGCCATGTGAAGGGGAAAGGTGGTGGGCAGATCGTTGCCTGCGTAATGGGTGAAGGCTGGAGTCGGGCGAGCCTGGTGTGAGAGCGCGGGAGGAAGCTAGCGCAGTGCCAGGCGGCGCGCCTGAGCCTAAACGTCAGTTTCGGGGCGTACGGGATGTGATGCGCAGCTAGCCCCAAGATGCGCAAAATGTCCGACCTGGCCGTCTCGCCGCCCTGGATCCCAGGGTCGCAGCCAATGCCGAAGCAGAAGGTGCGCCGCGGTCCAATTGCCAGGGAATATGCAAAAGGCTGAGATCTTCAGGGATTGCGCGCGGCCAGAAGGGGCGCAAGCGAGAAGCGCGAGATTGCGAATCAGATACGGCGCTCTACGCGCGATCCTGTTCGCTGGCAAGCGCCTGGACCAACACCATCGAGATTTGCTGTGGGATAGTTGTGTCCATGGTGGGCGGTAGAGATCGCCGCCGCCGACTCGACTGAGCTCGGCGTCCACTGTGCCGCCATGACGGAACCCCAATCTGGCCGGGACTACACCCCACGAAAGATAGGTGTGCGGCGTAGAGCAAGCCCGCTGGCTCGTGTAAATTCATCGCGTAAACGGGGTAAAATGAGCACACGACGCCGGAAGGATGCGCCTTGCTGGGAACAGCAACGGCGCTGGCGAATAGAGACGCCTCCATGGATCCAAAACCGTTGCCGCGCGTTGTGCACGAGTCGACTTCCGGGCCTTTCCTCTTCTGACCACCATAGCCTGGTGGATACGGAATGAAAGATGAGGCATAAGAGGGCCCAGTGTGGGCTGGGCGGCGTAACGAATGAGGCTTCGAGTATAAAATGCAAAAGTATGACTATACGAAAGTGCACCTACGTTGAAGACGACGCCCCCTTCTTTATCAAGATGAATGCTGACGTGTTAGTGTTAGTCTTGTCAAGTAGAAGCAGAGTGGCTTCAGCTGAGAAATAAGGCAGATGCTTGCAAGTGTCAGCAGAAGCTTTGCAGAGCTAAAAAGCGTAGACGGTGTCTCTTGCTCACGGCAAGGATAAAGCATGCTTTTCGAATAGCCGTGCGGCAGGCGAGGCGACGCTGTGCAAATCAGGGTCATCCGATGGCGACATTCGTCACTCTTAACTTTGGTAGAGACGAGGAAGAGAAAAAAAAAAGGTTCAGCAAGCAGCGTTCCTGCGTCGGCTGCGAGCAGTCAGCAATTTGCGCGTCGAGCTCCACGCATCCCCACAGTTACAGTTGGCATTGGCCCGCCAAAGATCTTTGTCATTGAGGGGAAGCAGAGCCGCTACCCGGGCGAGTCTCGACACTCCGGACCCTCCGGCCTTTGCGCTCAGAGCAACCGTGGTTTTGAATGTGGGCCCTCTTTCGGGTTTGCGGCCGCATTGCTCGTATTGTAAGCGGAACAGAACGCTTGCGCAGCCCTCATCAAAGGAAGAACGCCACTGGCTGAGCATCACCCGCACTTCATCTGCTTCTCAACGGACGATGCTCGGCAGTTCGCCAATACGAGCAAGATTGACATCGATGTTCCGGGTACCTGGACTACCCGGGACTGGGCAACGGGGAGGCCAGGATGACAACGATCATTACCGTGTTGTTGGTGATATGTGGTATTATTTTCGTCCACTTTTTCTGGGTCATCCGATGCCGCCTCGTCCATTTTTCTTTTTGAAATTTGAAGACTCGGGATGACGTAGACCGAAAAAAGCAAGCCCGTCCAAAGAGCCGATAGAATTCGGAGCCGACGATAAGATCTTGGTACGTAAGCTGTCGGCGGGCGGCGTGGAGAGATGGCAAGAGTCAGTGGCACAAGAAGTTTCTGGCAAAGCGATCTCGGGGTGGGCTGGGCGGGTTACGGGGTGGAGAGGCCGGTGAGAGATCATCCCAGGTCCCAGCGCAAATCTGCGTGGCCGGTGGAGAGCATGTCGCCCGCTGGCCAGGAACAGCCAAAGACGTCTCTTTGTGCAGCTGCGCAATGTGCAGAGCCGTGGCCGGGCGCGGAACGCAGTGGTTGTCGGGCGCCAGTGATGTCAAACCTATTTTGAGCGCTGCAGGCATGCTGCAGGTACAGCCAGGAGATGCGGATGCGCGGGAACTGGAGCGCACGGCCCTCCGGAATCGAGTCGTTTTCTGCGTATGTAACTGCATGCCCGGCGGCCGCTCGAGAAGAGCTCACTGCCGGCCGGCAGGCAAATCTGGCGCGCACGCGCGCGTGCAACGCAGCGGGTCGGGGGCTCGGGAGAGACGTTGAAGAAGAGATGGGAGCAGAAATCGGCGATTGGCTGGATTCGAGAAATTCGGCGGGCGAGAAAAGCAACGGTTGGCCAGGAAAGGTGAAACGCCATCTGAAGCAACGAAGCTGCGGAGAAAAAATGACCCCTCCAGCGGCATCTTGCCCCGACGACGATCGGTGGCTGGAGCTCGCCGTCGGCGCGCCTGAAACGATAGTCTAGAGCAGCGTTCGCAATGCTCCAAGCAACGGTGGTTCGTCAGCGACTCGCAGCGCGCGGAAACAAGTCCCAAGAGAGTCGGGTTGCACAGCATGCAGACCGCCTTCGCCCGTCGCGTGGCTTTATTTGGTCGGCAGTGCGTCGGTTGCATCACTGCACGCCGGCATTGATGCTGCTGCAACGTCAGCAATAGCGGCACCGCAACCCTCCGCTAGTGCAGTCGCGTGAGAGCGCGTTGTGTTGAGAGGGAGGCGAGGGAGGCGCTCGAGGGCGGCGGTGGTGGCCTCATGGCGGCTGTGTTTCGACGCAGGACCAATGTTTGCTGAAACGCGCAAACACTCCGGCGGCCGCTTTGGTGGCCGGCGAGCAGCGCAGCTCTCGTGCCCGCCGGGATCGACGGCCTCCATGAGGCTCCCCCGCCCAGCGCGCAGCGGGCCTCGGCCGCGTCGACTGTTTCGAGTGCCTCCGAGCTCGACGTCGTGGGCCGCGGCAGACACGAGCAGCACCAGCGGCAGCGCCTGGCGGACAGGCCCCGGCGCGCCCTCTCCGCCGAGCTGCGTCCTGCGCCGCCAGGGGTGCGGGTCCCTGATTCGCCCGCCCGCTCTCGAGGTGAGGTTTGAGGTTGAGCGCGCGCGTCCCGCATAAACGTGAGCGCGAGGTGGGCGGGTATGCGCGCCGCAAGGCGGTGGGCAGCGCGAGCGGCGAGCAGGCGTGAGGACTCGGGCGGCGTGCGCTGCAGGCACTGGGCTGAAGGGCTCATGCGCGTACCCTTGCCCACAAATTGCGGAACCACAACGGCGGATGTGCCTGTTGCCCCTTGGCTGTCTGCACGGGCTGTCAGACGATGCCCCCCGGCTTGCGCCCGAATCGTGGGCTGCAGGCCGGCTGGTCCCTGTCGCGCGTGTGCTTGCGGCCCTGCGCTGCGCTTTCTCCACTGCGCGCTCGCCCACAGCTCCGTGCCTCAGAGCGCAGTGTCACAGATCTGCAGTGCCACGAGAATCGCCGCTTGCCGTATACATTGCGCCTGTCCTGCCCCTTCCGGCCCCGTGCTCTCCAAGCCCTCTCTCGCCCATGCTGAGGATTGCTGCATATCAGCCACTCTTGTTCCCCTCCATGCTCTCTAGTTCCTGCATTCCCTCCGCCCCAACTCCCGCGTCTGACGTAAGTGGTGGGCCGCCGCGAGGTACGACTCTTTCTCTGCTATTATTGCACCTGTACATACTAGCAATCTGCCGCCTCCTGAACCATTGCTGCTATCTTTGTCGCCTGAGATTGCCGACTGCTTGCTCTGAGCTTCGTCCAACTAATTTCCCTCTAGCTGCCCTTAGCTTGCCATCCGCCGGCCACCGCGTCAACCCTCCGCCAATTTGATCTCCCGCTCCACTAGCTCGCAAATCCCACCGTCGCCTATTTGTTTCTGCCAACGGCCCTGCTGTGCGAGTGGACACAGTAGCTGCCGGTCAGCACCATTATCCATTCTTCCTCCATGGCCATGGACCTTTTCAAACGCAACAACGGTGGGCTCCCCAGATCTCGCCAAGGCTCTATCGACGCCTCCATTTCCGATCCCGACTCGCGGCCGCCCTCGCAGCCGCAGGCCTTCCATCCGGACCTGCCCTCTCCGCCTGAACGTCACTTGCGAGACCAGAGCGGTGCACGCAGGAGTTCCGTCTTCACCCTCCGCTCCCGGAGCAACACTGGAAGCTCCATGACAAAACCCGCCAATCTCGACTCGCAGGACCGCGCCGCTAAGAGGTCGTCACGGGAAATGCCTGCCACTCACCACCAAAGCTCGGCCAGCATATCTGAGCCTCCGTCTCTGAAGCAAAAGTCTTCTTCTTCCTCCATGTTCGCCTCGAGGGGAAGGAAGCTGCGCCGCCAAAGCAGCAAGCTCACTTCCGCCACCGGTGTCGACGACGTTGAAGAGGTGGCCAGCGCACGTAGAGGTTCGGTCTTTGGCAAGGAACGCAAGCGGAGCACCTACGAGACGGTCGAGCAGTGTAAGTCCCCTCACGTCACACAAGCTGCGCCTGTGCTGATCACTGCTGCCCCAGACAACCTCAGGATGCGCCACATCTCCCAGCCTTTCGACTTCCAACACCTAACCCACACCAACTCCCAGCATCTCCAGCAGGCGCTCGAGAGCAGCCAGAATGAGCTTGTTGCCGAGTTTTGGGCTCACCGCGCTTCGCAGATGCCCAACAAGGAGCTGCGCGGAATCAAGGTCGAAGACCTGAGCTCCCCCAACCCCGAGGACGCTCCCAATCAACCTGGCAGCGACACTTCGTCCCTCTCTCGCTCCTCGATCATCAGTCCGAAGACTCGTGACGTCCCCATCCCGCGATCCCCTTCGCCTAAATCGGATGCACAGGCTGTTCGTCATACGCGATCTGCCGGCAGCTTCTCCCAGCCCATCCCTCCTATTTCGCCTAAGTCGCCCAGGACCAAGGACTCCCACGTGCCCATGGTTGCTCCTAGGATATCTTCCCGCTTGGCATCAGCACGGGGTGAAGATACCCCTATTGCGCAAGCGCTATCTAGCAACCGCCGCCAATCTGGTATTTGGAACCAAGCATTCCATCGCCCATCCGTCTCGAACGAATTCGTCAACGATCTCCCCTTCGTCGCACACGCAGTCACCACTCCCGACGACTCTGCCATCCCTGCCATGTCTCCATCCTGGAACGCTGAGCTGGAGCACATCGCAGAAGAGGAGGAAGGCAGCTATTTTGGTCGCATGTCGTACGACCAGAGTATGCTCTTCTCTCCTTCGCCCGAAATGTCGCCGACGCAGAAGCCCGAGGCCCAGTCGGATCTCCCTCTGCGTGCGGACAACATGGGTCCCCATGAGCACTTGAAGTCCTTTGCGAACCACCGCCCCACGAGGCCGCGTCCCCTCTCGCAGATGTCGGATACACTTGGAGCCCCCTTCTGTCCGCCTAACTCCGGGAAAAAGACCCCCGGTGCGCTTGGCGCGCTTCAGCGGTCCGCTACGATGAGGAGACGCTCGACCTTCTTCAAGAGCTTGGAGGAGACGAACACTTGGGAAGATGATATCGACTACTGCTACGACATTGGCGCTGATGCCGATTGCGACTTTGAGTGGGACCGTGTCTCCAGCGAGAACGGAGGTGGCTACACTCCCAGCGAAATTCCTTTTGCATTCCGCACGCCAACTGTCTTGGAAGAGGAGGATGAGGATGAGCGGAGCGGTGTCTGCGGCACGGAGGAGAAGCTCCAGGAAGGCTTCATTCCCAACTCGATTCTTCCGTCGCTCACGGCTCCTAGCAAGAGTTCTCTTCCTGATTTGGACTACCGCTCCGGGGTTTCCACCTCCACGAACAGCCTTCTGACCCCTGTGGACACCTATGCTGCCAACAGCCTCAAGGACCGTAGCAATGTCGCATACCCGAACCCAGATCATGATGCCTATACCCCATCTTTGCTGGTCCCACAGGACTTCAAGGATCAGGTTGCTAAGGAGGACATGTACGAGGATATGCTCAACGACTACGAGTCCGACAGGCACTACCCTCTGGTGCACGCTCGCTCCGACAACACGCTTAGCATTGCCGAATCGAGCCGCAGCGGCCCTTCGCGCTACAGCATGGGCAGCTCCTACGAGAGCAGCCTCCGCTCCGCGTCCATCTCGCTCGCCAGCCCAGCACGTCGCTCGCGCAGCTCCACCGGTTCTGTGCCCGACCTTGTTCACAGCCGCCGCGCCGCCAGACGGACTATGGAGAGCATCAATCGTCTCTCGAAGGAGATGACATTCGCAGATGATGAGGAGGACTACTATGACGGTGCGTCGACGCAGCAGCAGCAGACGTTCTTCGCCGACGACCAGGATGGTTCGGACGACGATACCGAGGATGACAAGAAATATGCGTCCCGTCCCACCACTTCCTCCTACCATGACCGCTCCGCTTCCGAAGGTGCGGCGAAGCTCTTGGCCAAGGCCGGAGTGAAGGCGCAGCACATTCGCACAGCCAGCACCGAATACACTGCTCAGCGTAGGCCCAGCAAGCCTCACACTCTCAGCTTGTTTCCTCAGCCGCCCAAGACTCCCAAGAACCTTTAGATCTTGCTGTGAGTTCTTGCCACTTGCAGATGTAGATGGTCATCTTGCGTTTGGAGCATTTGTCTTCACCCGAACTGTATAAACACTGCTTTCCGCGCCGTTTCTTTTCACTGTTTCGACTGTCTACATGGTGTGCTGTTTTTCTGAAGCCACCGCTGCAAATTTTTTCCTTTTTCGTTGCGTTTCTTCTTGCTCCTACAATTCTGAGCATTTGATGATGCTATGTATTATCTATGACCGGTTGGTCTCCACGTGGTTGTGGAGTAGGGAAGGTTGGTTCAAAGGGGGCGGTACCGGTCATATCACAAAAAGCAGGTGTGCTTTTTCTTCGGAGTTTCTTTGCGTTCAGGAGAGGAGTTTCTTTTGGTCAGGAGCTATAGGATGTTCTTGGCGTGTGGGTGGTTTTCTGCTGTTTCCTTTGCCTGAACTCCCCGCGTCCCTGGTTACCACAAAAAAAGACGGGACTGGCGTTGCTTTCCTCGAAATCGCAATTTCCTTTTTTGTTATCTTTCCTACTGTCTCCATCTCTCTCCCGAGTCTGTCTCCTTTCCCTGTCTGAAAGGCCCAGGGCTTTGCTGTTTCATACGCAAAGCTGGGCTTTGCTCGGCGGGATTGCCTGCATTCTCGTACCACATTAGAGTGGACGTGGGCTACTCGTCGTTTCATCGTTTATTGTCTATTTGAGCAAGGTGTTGGATCGATGGTATAATATCGTTTGGTGTATTGGCGCAGCGCTCAATCGGCGCGCGCATAGTAGTAGTGTCGTTGTCGCAAAGCAAGCAAAAGTAAAGAACCGGAATCAATTCGCAAGCAGCGTCCCGTCGGCTACTCGGGGACCTGCTTGTTTCCACAAACCCTATGTCTCGGCCCCCACAAACGGTGAAGGTGATTGCATTTACCGCAAATAGCAGGTAACCAACACGCACCCTTGAAAATGCTCATAAGGCATCACGCATGGAATAACCGGGCATGGACGGATTTTGCCGGAGGTTTTGCTGCAGCCTTCGCAACATGGCGGTCAGGCACATGTCGAGCTGAGCTGAGCAGCATTCCAAGAGGCTAGGTAAAATGCGTGGGCGTTCCGAGCTGCCGGTACGAAACCACATCACTATCCCCACACGGCTGCATGCTTGGTTAACGGACGTAACGGTACACACACATGCGGGCGCAATGCCATGCCCTTTCACTCTCCCTGGCATTCCCGGCGCCTAGGTACTGATTGATCAAAATTTCCTCCCGCCAGCCGGGATAGCACCCTTGCAAACGGAGCGCCGGAGGTTGTATATTGCTTTTTCTCCCATCTGGATCTTGGTCCCACCGACGATGAGGGCTGGAGATTTTTCTCTCATCTTGTTTTCTGGGGATCCACTTCATGCGCTGTTTTTTTTTCCTATTTTTTCCTTTTTTGTACCCGCCGGATTGGCGGCTGGTCGGGTGTTACCAATCGCTTTCCTTGCTTTTTTTACTTTTTTTCCCCTCGATCTTCGCGCATCCGTCGTTTCGGAGCCTTGTGATTGATGACTCTCTTCTGCCTCTCTTCACCGCTGACATGACAGAGCCAATAACTCGCCCCAGTTGTTCCCCCCAGACTGCGCGCATAACTAGCGGTACGATACATAACTGTGGTACATCCTTCTCGCCTATGTACGCACGCATGCATGCACGCATGCAATACACAATAACCGCCGCGCGCACGCACACACACAACAACCAAAGAGCAAAGAAAACTGGGAAGGAGGAGGAGGAGAAGAGAACAACACGTGCTCGACCTGCCCTTCTCGGCCATATCTTCAAATCATTTCACACAGATGCGGTGGCTTATCTCCGACAACCCACCACCCCCTCCGTCCCCTGCACCTTCTGCAGCAACCGGCCGGCCGGGGAGGGGGGCCCATTGGAAAATCCTCCGGCGCGCGGAAGAAAGGAACGCACATATATGCAAAATGCAGTGACGAAGCGAGACAGCTTTCATAGATCCCGATTTTCCCGCGCGTCGTGCCGCCGGCGCCGCCCCGCGCGCCACACGCGTGCGCCGACGCAACGCTGCCAAGTGGTATTTGACTTCTTACGCGCTGCCGCCGTGACCGGTGGGCGGCGGATGGACGGGGCGGCGGTGACGGTGACGGCGGCGGCGCCTGCCGTGCGTTCCATCCCGCCGCCGCCGCCCGCCCGCCCGCGGCGCAGGTACCGCTTGGCTGCTGTTGCTGCATGTGCAATCACGATTTGCTCGTGATCGAGGTGGGGGAAAAGCGCGGGCTCATGCATTTGCGGTGTGTGTGTGTGTGTGGATAGGTTGGGAGGGGGCATTTTGGGGGCGGAAAGTTTATATAGGTGGGTAAAGTGCTTAGGGGGGGCCTAGAACTTCTATGCCTCTATCGAGGCATTGCATGGGGGCCGGCGGCGTGGGTTGGGTGGGCGCCGATACGCGAGGTTTCGGGGGGGAGGGTAGGGCGGGCGGGCAAGGCAGGCAGGCAGGAGATTTGATTATTGACTCGTCGATTGATTCGCTGCTGGGGATGGAATTGCCGAGAGGAAGATGAAGGCCGGATATCGTCGGAGTTGGTTGCGAATGTGCGCTCTCTGAACGTTGCGCAGTTAATGCGTGCCCTGGGGCGGTTGGATGGCTGAGGCGGCACAGGTGAAGAGACAAGGGCAGCGAGAAACGGCATGTGGTTGATCGCAGCCCAATTCTTTTCTGGCTTTGACCGCCGCAGCCAGCCCGCGTTCGTTTTCGCATTTCGAATGTTGGTTGGTGGTTAGCGATTGGTGGTTGAATGGCTGATGCAGCAGCAGCGATGTTCCCTCGAAGCGTACCAGCCAAAGCTGAGAAGCTACCATTCCGTGCTCTCGAACCACCATCGAATGTTTCGGTCGCTTTCTCTGCGTGAGCCGCTGCGGCTGAGAGGCCAGTCAGTGGAGTACAGACGGTACGTGCGTGTGTTCCTACCGCTACCGACCTCTCGGCACCCAATATATTGACGAGGCCTCAAATTTGAACGTCGATGATAACGTGACTGATTGGTTGGTTCGTGGGGGCGGCCACACTACCACGGTTACGCAAGGAAGACGAGACAAGTACACATCGGCGTGGCCGAGTGAGACGGCCGAAGCATGTGGGCGACGAGAGACAAAGGCAAGGCGGTTGGAATCAGTCGATCTTTCATGCGCATATCTTGTCTTTCCTGTTCGGGATTGCTCAAAGCCTCCGGTGGTTTGGGCGGCCCGAAAGTCGTTGGGATCTCAGTGAGTTGATCGTTGAGTGGGCGGTTAAGCTTGTGCAACCGAGGACATGCACGAAATGGGCATGCTGATGGATATAGTAGTCAGCGTGGAGAATGATCTTGGTGGTTGCCCGTTATGGGTACCGTCTGAGGTTCAGTGCCATTTCACCTTACTTGACTGACCTCGATATGTCTTCGGTGAGCTGAGCTAAGTAACTGGCATGGGAATTCGGGTTGTGAGACAACAACACGCTCAAGGGCATTCAAGTAAAGGGCTCAATTGCTCTTCGAAGGATTATCCGACTTGACTATTTGTACTATTTTTTTTTGGCAAAGTCTTACAGTAATATTTTAAAACTTCAACGATGTCTGTTTTCCTAAGCTTTAATCTACTCTTAAGCCTCATCCGCCCAGATAAAAGCTAGAAATAATTGTAGATGTAAGAATGAGTCGATGAATACATTGGAGAAAGATGTGTATATTTATTCGTCAGGGGCGACTTGATAAGAATAATACTTTTAGGGGGGTTGAGAAGTGAGCTGCAATACGACGGATACTGAAATGTACTTGTCAACACTGATGATGCAGTGATTGTTGTCTTGCGGCAAATTTCTCAAATAGAGCTACGTCACACACAATCGTTACGTACGAGACTCTGAACTTCAAAATTCATTAGGTATGAAAGAGACGCTACTTGGGAGCAGCATGTGCTTCAAGTATCGGCTTGCACCAGAATACTCTTCGTATCCTTATGCAAGCAGCGCAAGCGATGGACATGCACAAAAACCTGGGTAGTCAGAGACCTGACGGGGCATGATGATCGACCGCGATTTGCAAAGTTGCCGTGCGGGCAAGCAGGTACACACCAAAGCGGTAGTGGGGAAGTTGCCAAATACGGCTAGCGCGGAATCCTCAACCACGACCTCTACCCTCGAGAGCGACGTCACGCAAGGCGAGAAACTTCTGACCGGTCCCTCAAAACTATCCACACCTTGGTCTGGCCAGCTCCGGGGACCAGGTTATGTGGAGGCCATGCCCAGGTTCTTGGACCCTTGAACCGGGCAGCGGTAGTGGAGAAAAAATTTTCGGCCGTTACTCCAACCACCAATTTCCAGTCGTCTCCGCAGGGTCCGCATTAAGTCTCGCGCTGTTAGATCAGCAAGAACGCATTAAGGAATATGGATGTGACATTGGAATGTGACTAAACTCAAAGGTTAATGCTTCATCCAGAATTCATTGTCTCCTGACGACTTAGCTCAGATGCAGCGTCTTCTGCACTCTGCACAGGAACTCCTCATTATTCCATACTTCGTAGAAGCGCTTGGCTGTGTAATGAAGTTGATGAGGGTCTCGCTTCCGGCAAAATTGATGCTGTGAAGTTGCGCCGAGTTGCCCAATGGGAGTGAAGTCCGGCCGCCGGAAGGACCCACGCCCACGCCTTGGAATGGAAAATTTGCATACGAGCACCCAAGGGACATCGTCATCGCCTGTCGGTCCAAGGGAACGAGTGTTTATAGCGTCTAACGCCAAGGAGAGCCAAAACCTCGAAATATAACCCTTTTGGGCCATTTCACTCCCCCATCAAGCACCACAGGAGCTTCCAATTGCCTCCAGCTTCATCGGTGGTGTAGTGTAATGGTATCACAATACGTTGTGGTTGAAAACACAGCTCCTAGACCATCTAGGACTTGCGGATGATACCGTATTAATCTGGGTTCGATTCCCAGCACCGCCAAGCGTCGCGCTTGAGCCTCTCAGAGGTTCCAAACATCTCTTTTT